GGGGTTGGGGATGAGAGAGGAGGGATCGATCGATCCGCTCAGATGTGGAACGGATAAGTATAAAAAAGGGATCGTGGACGAGGTTTTCGAGTCGAGGAGGGGAGAGGGGAGTGATTCGTCAATTTGACGCTTTTAACTCTTTTCGTTGGACGTCACTTTTCGTGGTCAAGACTCAATTGTTCTGATTGGGAAGGTTGAGAAGAAGTTGAAATGATAATATTGTTGTGAGAATTAGATTTTTCTAAATGTTTCTTAAAGAGGATTTTTGATCGTGTTGAGAATGAATGAATGAATGAATCATAGTGACGTTCGGCGGATTTTGTGTATTATTTTTCTGCTTCCAAATTTTTATATTTAATTTCATCAATCATCGCATTGATCATCCTTGATCTTTCGAAACAGTGCTTGCGAAACAATTAATTAAATAATTCCTTAGCTTCTTCTATTCTATACTTGTCTATCGTGCATACATAATATCTTCAAGCTTCTACAACACGTCCATCCAGCTTTCTATATCGCAATAATTACGAAAAAAGAAAAACGATATTAACTGTACATGTATATGTAATCTCTATTAATCGTCGCCTTTTTCTCAAAAGCACCTTCTAAAAAGCACCTTCTAAAAAAAACCCATAATCGATTAACCCATCTTCAACCTTTTCTCAAACATACACACACACATACATGTATACACATCTTCCACATACAGAAATATTCCAGACAATAAACGGCGAACTAAACCGCGTAACAAAAATCACGGTCTCAGCTTTTCCACTTACCGCCTTATCTCAGAAATTTTAATTTCACGCTTGATCAAGTAACAAAGAGAGAACGAAAAGAACGTTCCAAACGTTCCATCCAGTCATCATCATCCGCAGCCAGCTGTTCGAGAATCCATTCCACGAGATGTCTTTACGTCTCTCTCTTTTTCTTCCTTTTTCAACTACTCTACTCGAATCTACCTGCCTCTTCACAGCGGCTACGAGGACTCTCTGAAGTCCCTGCAGCGGCGCGAAAGAGGAAACGAGATCTCTCGCGGAATCCACGACACCTCGACGACGACGACGACGAGCATGGTGGTGGGGAGGCGAGGGACCCAAACGACCAGGAGACGGCAACGATACAACTCGTTCTCGAACGGTGAATCGATGTACTCTCACGAGATGACGTTGCAGAGGGAGCAGCAACGTTGCTGCAACCTTGGGACCGAGAAGAGGCGGAAGAACGACGGCGGGGTGGGGCGCGAGCATCGGCGCGCGCATTCGGAAGCTGAGAACAATATCACCGAGACAGTGATACACGAACATCCTGGAACCGAGATCTCGTTGTCCAGCTCTTTGCAGAACACCTCCCCTCTTCACGGTGAGTTCAATGGCTTTCAATGGCTCGAGTTTTGGATCTCGCTGAGAGGTATATCGTAAGGGTAGTGTGATTGTGACCTCTTCTACTGGAAGCTTGCCGTTCATGGAGCACTACTACTTGTCTGCAGAAGTATTTATACTCGTGGCAAAGAATAATGGAGTTGTGGTTACTTTGATACTTGAGTTTTGAGAGATCGATGATTAACATTTTGAAAGAAATAAAATCTGCACAGTCTAATTAAAATATTTTTCTTCGATTTCTTTCTATATTTTCATTTTGTTTCGCAGGTGTAACGAGATCCACCCACATGCTGTATTAACGAGAAAGAATCTTACGAGAGAAACTTTCAATGGGGAACAAGGATTCTTCCTAGCCATGAGTTTTTCTTATTGTCCATACAATTATCCATAGGGGATACACATATAAGAGGTGCATCTTTTTGCACGATGAGATTAATCCCTTTTAACTTTATCAGTGCGAGGATATTTCTTTAACACGTAGGTTTAAATTGGAAAGCAGGCCAAAAGATTTATTTAATTTATTGTATTAATTATCCACGTTACATTCAGAAAAGATTACCTTTTTTCAAATAACAATTAAATGATAATAAATTTTCAAAATCTGTTTATTTCAGTCAATGATACGAGTAAGAATTTCATATTTTACAGTTTTTTACTCTTTTTGAAGGTATATTGTAATGTTTCAAGATTCCATTTATCTTTATCTTTCAAAACACACGACGAAACTTTTCAAAATTCCATTTTATTTTAACCAAGCAGAGCAGAGAGTTGTAGTTTTTGTAAAAAGTTGAACCAATCGAAGAAATATCCTTTTCACGAGGAAGGAATTAGCGAGTTATTTTTCTCGCGTGAAAATTTGCGCAAATTGTGTCATCCTGTTACCAAAATACTCGTCATTCGTTCGTGTAAATATTCTCTATCGAGATCTATTTTTATTATTATTATTATTATTTCTTATTTCCCTACGTTTATCTTATTTATGAATGTAAGAATATTCTCCTCTACAAATGTAAAAATGTTTCATGTACAGTAGATATACGTTTCACTTGTTGGAAATATGGTGTCGAATATCCAAGAAAGCGTGCAATTATTATTGAAAATTATGTGCATAAATATTTATTTCATTATGATAATTCTAATTCTTTTAAAGAATTGTTATTACACGTTGATAAAATAATTTTTATTTTGTGTATATAAATTTGCAAACGAGATAAAAATTAAAATATTTTATTTCCATGTGATTGAATTTTAAATTAAATTGGAAAATATTACACGTTGAATCATCATCAATTTCTGGAAAAAGAATTTTAATATGAAAAATTATAAACAGTTAGATTTTCAATTAAAAAGAAAAAGAATAGGGAGAAGAATCGAAATTAAACTTTTTTTTTCGGGAATTGAATAGTTCAACGTCCATTCATTCAAAAATAATTCGGCTTCTCATTCGAAAGCACACGCGCCTTTGAATACGCCAACTTTCCAACGAGTTCGCTACATTTAATACAACTAGATTGTAAGAGAATGTGTATCATATGTATGTAACAATAATGTATAATTTATATCGTGATCGTGAAATTGGTCACCAAGGAAAATAACTGTTTTATAAATCGTTAATAAAGGCAATTATCGTAAAACGTGAAGTTTCGAACTTCAACCTCCTCTCAGCCGCGAACGATTTCATGTGGTAACGTAACAAATTATAGTTTTCTACTTTCCTCGATGGACTTGAGTTTTATATAAAATCGATATCGCGCCCTCCAACGATAAGAGAAACGCATTTTTTTTTTATTATTCGTTTACGACTCTATTGGTGATAAGAAGCTGTTTCAGATTTTTTTTTTTTTTCATTATTAAATTTTAAATTCAATGGATCTATGAGTTTTTCGTTTCGATGACACTAATAATCTTGTATTGTATTCATAATAAATTCATTTCCCTTTCTATCCTATTTTATTTTCTTTTCAGAATTCCAGGAAGTGATTCCTCGTTTTTATCAAAAGTATTTAAATATTTACTTATTCAATATCTATTTTTTAATTATAATTTATAAGTTTTAGATGAATTCTTGGGAAAGTTCCTTAAGTTTTTAAAAAATTGGTAAAAATTAATTAAATAATGTATAATTAGATTTTTTTAACGTAAAGAGTAAATTATTTATTATTCGATTATCCGACTCGTATTCTTCGCGGCGGTACATCTATTTAATATCTAAAATCTTTGCTTTCAGGACAAGGCTGTGGTAAATATTCTTATCTAGCGTGACTCATGAAAAGCACACCCTTTACCTTCACCTTTGATTCCTCCACCATTAGTTTGACCTACTGTTCACTTTCAAGTCGATTTTTCTTTCATTCAGGTTCGTTCCCTTTTCTCCATACAATCTAAGAAGTATAGCTCTTGATACGTTTAAATGTCACTTGATAATCCTTTCGTTCCTAGCCACGATCCAAGGATAGGTTGTAGTTTTGATTACGTAAAGGAGAAGAAGAAGAAGAAAAAGAATTTCTTTCAAATCTCAATTCAAGCAAAAATAAAAGTTAGTATTTATTAATTGTTTATTGTTATAAGATAAAATTGTCAATAAATAACAATAATTTACAATATTTTTAACATTTTTATGTTTTAGCGTATTTGGTTTCTCAGTTTTTCAAGTTCTCTTGAAGATATTGAAATCTTTTTATTGTCAAATGAGAAGAAATTCACACAACAGGAGTTAAGTATAACTAATCTTTAAATTTTCACAAATACAAATTGAGAAGAGACGCTAATACTTTTTTATTTTCTTCTTATATTTTCTAGTCAAATTTTACGCGTCAGAATCAGGAATGAAATTTAAAAATGGTAAAATATCGCGATCAATCACACTCTGAGATAATCCATCACACGGAATTTTCATCGAACCTTCCACGAAGGGTGACCTTCACATTCGAGCAGCTTAATTAATCGGCGCCTTAGGAATCTCTTAGAATCTCTCTCAGATAGGGGGAATCAAATCAGCGTGGGTCTTTTAATTACGGATAAATGAGTCGTGAGGAGAGATTCCTGGTCCCGTTGTCGTCGATATATAGCCTATTCAATAGGCCTTGAATCTATTGCAACGCGGCTGCAAATGAGCGTTCTAGGTCTCCTTAAACTCGCGCGCCAAGGGTAGACCCCTGGCGACACTGGCATTGAAAGACGAGGAATCGTGGCATCGATGGAAAGGAATCGTTCACTCTTCTTCTCCCCTCCCCTCATCCTGCCATTTTTCCAACACCAATTGAAGATTGGAACGAGTACCATTTTTCTATTTGGTGCGCGCATCGAGGGTGAATATTTGTTTCGATTGAAACGAGTGCATATCCTTTTCTTTTTCTAATTTTTTAATAAAATAGGCACAATGAACGATATATATATATTTTAGATATCTTATACAGAGGAAGAGTTTTACTTAAAATGAACATCTTTCAAAATATATCAAAATTTATCAAAATTTCCAATACTTTAATTTTCCAATATTTAATTGTCCAGTTCAAAATATAAGTTGATCCTAGAAAAAGAAACACTATTTCTAGATATTTTATTTAGATAGAATTTATCCTCGATAAATTCCATCTAAGCTCAAATCTAAGAGCTGATCAATTTTAAAGAAAAGCTGCGAGCGAGCGAAGGAAATTTTGGGCTTATATGAAAATGGTGATATTTACGACGATTACCTGGCTACAATAGAGATCACGTTCACACACGATGCAATCGTGTGCCGCCCTCCTCCGTGGCAATCGTCCCTGACATTCTCCGATTCCGTGGGCGGAACAATTACAACTGGTCCAACCTCGTTTCACGAATGATATATTCGGCCTCTTACTTCGCTCCCTTTCGAAACAATTGCCACACAATCTTTTCTAACCCTTTCTCACCCTGTCAATCGCTCGAGAACGCGACTTCATTCTGTCATCGTATCAATTTCCATTGGATCATTGTGTAAATTAAACCACCATGTGCTTATTACCTTCCACTTGGACATTTTTGCTAAAATTTTTATTTTATTTTTATTCTATACGTGCATTTATATGTACAGTGGATAGTGAAGGACGAAAAGCTAATTCTAATTTGAGCTTATGTTCTAAATTAACGAAATATGAAATGTAAAATATTAAAATTCAATTCTAATGAAAAGAATGGACTATAATTTATATTATTTATACGAAACTATATAAAATTGCACTATATAAAATGGACAAAATTGAGTGAATACTTTATACATACATAAAGTAAATAGTTTTTCAGTAAAAGTAATTTTTGTCAATTTGAATTTTCAATTGCAATTCTTCCAAAAATATTTGTTTATTAGTACTCTTTTTTCTAAAGAAATTTCTGCATCTAGGAATTTTTTATTACATCAATGTCTGGGCTTTGTGGAAGCCATTCTAAAAAATTTCTTTGTTTTCGTAGCGACATATTTTTTATTTTGTTGTCTATTTTTAAAATTGATTCTTCTAAATTTTCATTCAGGATATCAATGTATTTATCTGCATTTATAATGCCATCTACAAATACTAAATTTCCGACTTCATACTACGAAAAACAAGCCCATATCATTACTGATTCTGCTTTTCAAAGGATTAATTTGGTTTTCTCCAAACTCGTGCCCTTTTCTTCTTATTTAATAATTCAAATTTACTCTCGTCAAATTACTTGTTTCCAGAATAATAGGAGCTTATTTAAATACTTTTTTTGGCGAAATTTAAACGTTCTTTCGTACTTCAGTGATGTATGGTTTGCGTCTGGTTACACAATTTTTTAAATTTGTCTCTTTTAATCTTACAGTTCTCGAAGATACAACATTACGTCGAAATATTCTTACAATTCTTCTATCTTCGTACGCACTTGTATTACCTTTTTGGTCTTCGACTATATAAATTATCAAACACATGTTCTAAACATTTTTTATAAATTTTTATAAACAATACTCTTAGAAACATTATATTTTTGGCCAATATACTTTATAACTTTAACTATTTTCACAACCAGAGACAATTTAGTAACCGAGCACAAACTTTTCATTTAATAATAAAATTGCCAATACTTTCCACTTAATTTTGTCCACGATCTAAAGTTCACCAATACGAACAAATACGTACATTCCATGAATCTTCTATATCCAAAAATTCAAATTTATCTCCGTTGCATCCGAACGATGAAATTTTCCTAACACGAACGTAGCGTCCACTTAATTTTATCCACGACTGTAAATGGCACGAGATCAAAGTCTAACGAGTTTCCGCGAAGGTGATAGTTTCCTTCAGGCTGCCACCCACACGTGGCGAGCGCCCATTACCCACGAAGAATCATCTTCAACGACACGGTCGAATTTTACGATTTTCCTCCACGTTTCACGGGGCGTATACCACGTTATATATACCACGTTGGGTACACGGTTCGTGCGGGGAGTTTTAACGACAAGTTGGGTGGATACTTGCGGTTGTTGTGTGCGATAAACGATTGTACTTACCGAAGTTTCTTTTTCTTTAGGTAATTGGAAGGAAAGGAGGCGTGGGCGGCGGGGTTG